CTCTTTAAATAAGCTATACAATTTGCTAGTTTTAGTTTTCTTCACGGCTCTTCAACGATATTTAACGGCGCGGCGAGAGAAGTAATTTCAAGAAGTGCAAATAAAAGGATACGCGTGTTTCTTCAACCAAGGGAGAGACACGTGTTCTTTCTCCACGGAAAAGAAACGACAAAGACCGCATTGCCAATTGAACATCCGTATACCGGCCTATTGTTGTTGCCAATAGAAATGCGCCTCGCTACACTACAATGCGACGCAACTTTGCGTGAAACAACGTAGCGGGTATTATCTCGAATCTTCGGAATACGTATGGACAATAGCCTTTTTTTTCCAGTCTCGCTCCTTCGGTGCCGTACCATTTCGACTGGAATATTTTCGAAATTGCTTCCAATCATCAAATGGCCAACTTTCGATCGAAAATTTATAAAAGAGAAAATTTGAGCATCTCGCAACTCGAAAGATCGTCGAAAATCCCTCGTTTATTGCCTATATATTCGGGGGAAATCGTGTTAATCGTGAAACTTTTTAGCGAACGTATCTTTGATTATTCGTTAGGAAAATAAGATAATTCAGCGAAACGTTGGCTCGAAACGTGGCTCTTTAGGTCAACGCGTTCCTATTTCCACGCTTGCAAGGTCGCGGAAGAAAGCATCTCGGAAGGGTGTACGTTGGGAAAAATCTGTCACCGGATACAACCAAGGAACTCTGTTAATTTTCCAGCGTTAGGAAGTGGGTCGGGAAACAATAGGAATCTGTTCTGCGCCCGTCCACCTTGGCGCATCGTTCTTTACTATTTTTCTGTCCTCGCGGCACTTCTCGAGTCGATTACCTCTCCACCACCCTTCAACCACCCTTCTTCTTCTTCTTTTTCTTCTTTTTTCTTCTTTTTCATCCTGTACCTCCTTCAGCTGCTTCTTTCTTACATCTCATCGGTACAACGTTCGCGCTACTTCTCGAATAATGCACAATGGCGAGAAGCCGTCCGCTTTTTCACCGTGTGCTGCCATCGTCGCATCGGCAACGATTAAAAATTTATTACCATCCCGCCCGTTCATCGTTATTTATCTTCTTGGATATCGCGCAATCGTTACGTAAAATATTATCGTAAAATAAAAAAGATTCTATTTACAAAAACGGGGAGCAATTGGCGAATTCGTCGAATCTGGGCTTTCATCTAGAACGTTGAAACACGCGTGATAGATACGTTTAAACGCAAGCCCGTCGAGTGGCTCGTATTCCATTTTAATGGAGGCACGTCGGGAGTGACGATCGAAATTGTCCTGGTTTTCTCATCCTAGCACCATCGGAGTGTTCTACTAATATTTAACGAGCGAACGAGGCTGCTCGCGCGTGCAAGCGAGCTCCACGCGACTTTGTTCTCTCTGGCCTCTCTGAGCTTCGTTAATTGTCCTCCCGCTTAACCGCGATTCCGATATTCCTCTCCCTCTAATTACATTATCAAGAAACGAACCCTCTAATTCCCCCCTCCAATCTATCTTATCTCGATGGAAATTTTGCGAAGCTTAAATGTAAGTTAAATTTATATTTTTCGCGATAACGTTATGTCAGCCGTGTTAATATTTGTTAATGGTATAATAAATTCTTTCGTCGCGATAGAATTTAACGCGCAGAGAATCGTCGATGTTCGCATCTTGGAATTGTCGATACGATGCGTGAAGAATTTGTGAAAATTTTTTAGCAAACAATTGGAAAGGATATAGTCTCTCTCTTCTCAAGGTTGCACAATCTATCTAGAGGATTTTTCAGGCCTCACCGATTTTTCGTTATTCTTCCAGACAAATGCCCCCGTTATTATCAATTTCATGGACGTTCCACGCCACAGTTGATTAAATTTCTGGCTTTTCAAGCGCAAACTAGGATTTGCGGTACGGATCAATCGATAGGATTAAAACGTTATTAAATCCATTTGTCCGTTTTGCGCATTGTGCACAGATATTGTTATCTGCCGTGGACCAGTTGCGGATGGATCCATACTCGGGATCGATACACGTCGTTTTTTTTTTTTTTTTCCCCCTCTTACTCGACTTCACGGTGGTTTGTAACACCCCGCTTACGGAATTTCTTCCTTTTTTTTTTTTTTTTTTCTATTTCTCTCGAATTCCGTTGGAATTACACGCTTCGATTCGAATATCTCGTAGATAGCGGAATAACCTTGAAAAAAAATGCCACGACTCTTCGATAATCCAGGAGAGGATAGTTATTGCGTAACGATCGGTGAACCGAATATCTCTATCCGTTGTTTCACTCGTTTTAATACGGAATAACAACGGTAAGCTTTATACCGGTTTCCTTTATATTCGAAAACGAACGGTTCCTTTTGTTCACGAATTTACAGCTACTGATCAACGAGAAAGGATTATTCGTGGCTGTTGTGCGGCGGTAACGTTCACAACGGAAACATTTGCCAGAAGCTTCCGCGACAAAAGGGAAACGAAATGATACTTTCCCGCCGACATGCGATACGAGAGGAACCTTTTTCGCGATTCACACGTGTAAATATATATATATATACTTATATATGTATATACGAGCATGCATGAAGTGCGCATAATTGTCGCGATATCCGTGTGACTTGTGGTGCAAACGAGAACGATAAAAAGCGACATAGCATCGGCGGGGATGTGTTCGAAACGATCGACCGAATACGTTTTTGCACGTCGATTCTTTCTCTACGTTGCGTGGTGATCTGTCGCTCGATTGCTTACCCTTCGTGAGAGAGTGGCGATTGTGTGCAGAACTGGACCTTTGGTTAGTTTCCTCAGAAGCGGCTCCAGCTGTAACACAAATATTCCAATATTCATATTCCCTTTAATCGATCTTCAATTTTGCAATACAATAATTTGAATAAATTGGAATCTCTCATATTTATATATATTCATATTCGTATTCGCGGTGATGATGAACTTTTCGAAAAAAAAAAAAAAAAATAGAAATAAAATTTATAGATGATAAATATATAAAAATCTGTCGCTAAAAATAAAAAAGTGTCGAGATAAAGAGACAGGGTGTCCCACTTATAACGTAGCCATTCGAAAATGTCCTCAGAGACTGGCCACCAGCCGTTACAACTTCTCCGCTGACATTTGCATTTCCTTTTCATCGCGTTAGGTCGCGTGTCTCTCTAAATATCGCCGGAATGGCGTGCCCGCTTCGGCCACTCGCCGCTAACTATTCATCAAAGTTGCCCACCAAGTAGGCAAGAGGGGCAAGGAGGAGGAGGAGGAGGAGAGGGCGCAGAGAATAGGCTCCCCTTTATGCGGACACACATCCATTGACTCTGCATGTAAGGCCAACTATCGCGATGCCCGCGTCTTTCGCCCACGTTGCTAACAAGCTTATTAACTCTGTCTTCATTAACCCTCCTCCACCGCCCCCTTTCTCCTCCCTACCTCCCTCCATCCCGCAGTCTCTAATAAACACCTTGAGCGAAGAAATTCAACTTTCCGGCAAACAGACAGGCGAGCTCTCCGTCCCAATTATTTTTCCACCATGTGAAATTAACCGTGTATACGTATATATATTCCAACAAATTTTCACTCGCTACTTTCTCCGCTTCCATTCCACTCCATTTGTCAATTTTGTCGATAATCGTTGAGAATTATTCCTCGAGAATTCGAGCATTCCGCGCTACGTTCCATGAAAGACAGCAGACGCAGCAGTTCTCTCAACGACACGTTCAAAACAGGTTTATCTGGAAGCACGGGGGTACCTTTAACCGAAAGGTGGATGGCCGGTTTCACGGCTGGTAGCATATAATAAGGTAATTTGATCAGACGGCTTACACTTCGCGGGTCATTTCGCTCGGCAATCGATTTCGGGTTTCTAACTCGCCCGCGCGTGTATATCACGGGCGGAAATTGGCCGGCGAAGCGTTCGATATTTCGTCTACGGCCTTGTTGTACGTAAACCGGGATCGGGAGCCCGGTCAATTGATCGGGGTACAATGGATACGGGGCACGATTCCATTGATCTCGATTGCTCGTGAAACGATGCCACCGGCGTAGTATGTAATACTTACTATATATACGTATACATACATATGTATAAGCGTGAAGAATTTCAACGCCAGAAATTAATTATGCGATTTTGCGCTACACTTGTGCGAGTAAATAACCCGCCATGAGATTCAACCTGCTGTATTAAATATTAATTAATTTTCGTTTCGTGTAATATAAATCATAATCGGGAGGACCATTCCTCTACATTCGACTACCATTAATTGCGAAAGAAAATGCGATAATTTGTCCTTTTTTTCTTTTTCATTGATGGAATTTTTACATCTTTCGAATCGAATTGCAATTGTTTCGGTTCAGGTGTGCGTGAATTTGATGGAGGACGCGTTGGCATCGAAGCCCGACATTTCCACCCTTGGCGCATTCTCCTCCGCCATTATCCGGAAGCGTCCGCCAAGTGAATCGCGCGCAAGTCGGCTGTGTCGTGAACCGTGAAGAAGATCGATCATTTGGTCGTGGGATAAATCGATCGGCCGGAAATTGGCGATAGAGAGAGAGCTTGGAGGAATATTATACAGTCCGCGAGAGATAGTCCGTGAAAAAAAATTTGCAACGGTGGCCGGCCAGCCTTTTCAACGCTGATTAATAATGCAATTCGTCGCGACTGCCATTTCCTGCGTTTCGCGCGACCGGCTGGCGCCTGCGGCAGAGGAGCACACACACGACGCGTGCACAAACGACGCAACGAACCCCTTTTTTTTCTCTTACTCTTCCCCTAAAAGTGATCGCGCCAATTGCTCTTTTTATCGAGTTGAGAATCCGTCAAATCTGGTAAGAGATTTCCACTCACGCGAGAATTTCAATTTAGGATTTTCTAAATTACTATTGCACGAAGAATCTTGATATATATTCGTTCGATAACAAATTTAAAAGTTGTCAGAAACTTTTTTTCAATCGTGGACAGATACGTGTTAATATTATTCTGCGTTTAGAGTTTTAGAGAATTGTTCCGTGTCTACATCAAATCTCACGAACATCTCTCAGTCTGAACGCAGCATTACAACGATCTTTCGACGTTGTGTACTTCCTCCCAGGCAAGTACACAGAGTTCGCTGCAATTTGTTCCAAGTTTGTTCAAGTGTCTATACCGTCGTGCTTCGTGAGTTGTTCGCGGATAATGGCGTGGATGCGGCAAGATTAGGCTAGATTAGGTTAGGTTACCGTTGTAAATTGGATTCCAGCGTAAACCGAGCCGCGACGACTCAATATTCGATAATACGCCGGTTAAATACTACCACCATGAGAAACTTCTCCACGATACGGCGATAGTTAAAAATTTACGCCGGTTCTCTCGGCGTATCGAAGTTCGTTTCCTGATTTACGGATCGCGATATCGACAGACGAGAGAGGAAGAGAGAGAGAGAAAATGGACATCGAAGGTGGAAACGCAGAGGCTACATTGGAAGGAAAATCGTTTTATCGAGAGCTCTCTTTCTCCGTACCCTCCTCCTTCTTGAGAAATCGTTCTCGAGCCTCCCTCCACCGAGCACAGATACAAGCTATTAAAACGTCACTATCGTGGATCGTCGTGGTACGATAATGAAGACTGAGAGCTCGTAATTCCAATGAAGGCGCGGCAGTAATTTCAATGGATGGGCCGAGGAGAGGTATCGCTCGCCGTTACTCGGCTCGTCGTGGGTGAACTCGCGCCAATGGTCGTCGTCCCTGAAAAGAAGCGGCCAGGCAGAGACGGACAGTGGGAATTATTTCTCTCGAAAGGGGTGGCCGCGCGTTGTCAACGTCGTATTTCAACGAATAAGAGTTGGAAAAAGCATCGTTCATCCGATCCAGTTCTTCGAGAGTAAAGAATTAACGTCTCTTTGCACGGATAGATTCATTGCAGCGATATGAATGACACGAGAGGGACGGTTAACAACGCCGTATACGAGTCGGCCGTTCCTTTAAACGATCGTCCAATTCGTGTTTGAACAATTACATTAAGGTTCGAGACCAGGTGCCGTTTCGACGAGAATGCGACTAACGACGGAACAAATATCGAACGAAGCGTTCCCATGCGAGAATAACGTGACACGAGCGAAGGGTTTGTAACAATCCTTGAAAGGAGGAATTTAAAACGTTGTTAATAAGAGAGTCGAATGGCGATAAATTCTCAGAGCCAGAGAACGTTTCGCGCCTCTTTAAAGAGAGACGCGTACCGTCCTCGACGACAACGCGAATCGAATTCGAATCGAACTCACGTGCGGGGGGAGAAAAATCAGTGAAGTCAGTTTGACGCGTGAGCATAAAGATACGTATGAGGGAAGGAAGCCACGCGCCGAAAGGCGCGGATCGGTGCAAAGCACGACGAGAAGAGGAATAAAAAGAAACGGCCAAGGGAATAAACGCGACACGATACCACTCGTATAACGAGCACGTTCCGTTTCAACTTCCCGTCACCGCATGAACACCTTCGCGAAGCACTTTCGAGGCGCTAAATAATCTTCTGATTTACCGCCTCGTGCCATGAATCGCAAATAATAGCGACTCGCCATTTCAACCTTCACTTTTGCCAACGCACGAACGAACCAAGCTTCTCGCGTCCTTCCTTCCGGAATTAATTCCCGCCACGGGAATGTTTAACGACACTGAAATAATTTGCTAGAATTAAAACCGGGAGAGATTTTCCTTTCGACCTTTTCCCTCTCCAACGCGGATTGAATTACGCGTAACTTTACGCGTGAAAACTTACATGTCAACTTCTGTTTTTTAACTTTCTTTTTCTTTTTAATTTATTTTCTTTTTACTTCTCGTCCTCGACAACGTCCTTTGCGAAATGGCACGGAGTTGTATGTATGGAATAAATGGCGAATCCAGGACGATTAATCGCGGAATAATACTGCGTAAACAAATAATTTTAATTTCAAACCCGAGAGAATACACGCTCGAAGGTAATAACACCGTTGCGGAAGGAGAGGAGGGCGTAAATGTCCGTTAAAGGGGATAGCGGTGATCTCCTGGGCGAGCAGCAAGCTCGTAATTCTCGGTGTACGACAACGGCTCGCGCCCCATAAATCGCTGTCGCGGACAAAAGGATCCCTCTTACGAGGTATCGCTCGAGGCGATTCTCCCGCCTCGTCGAATCCGCACTCGCGCGGCTCGAATTTACAAAGCCACGGCCACGACTATCGAATGTCGCAACGTGTTCCGCAGCGGTGGCCCGCGTCGCATGCAACCGTCGCATGCAACCTTATCGCGCCTCGCGAGAGAAATTTATTGGGGCCAACGAGTGCAATCGTCGCCCGTCTTCCTCCCTTCCCTGGGAGCGGAGCACACGTCGAACGCCTCGCGTGCATTCCGCTCTCGATCCCAATTATTTGTCCGTGACGACGCGTGCACTCAAAAAGCGTTTCCGCGCACGCTTCGCGCGCCAATTGGAGCGAGTATTAATTCTTCCAAGAATATTTAGAGAAATTCTCAAGAAAATTATTCGAAATTATTAAGATATCCTTTCTTCGAGAAATTAAATTAAAATTCCTTCGAAACGTAACTTTTTTTTTTTCTCGCGACGAATCAAGAAAAAAGAGAGAGAGAAAATCGAAAGGTCGCGCGCACCACCACTCCGGTCCAATATTACAGGCGGGCTACAAGGGATGAAGCCAATAAACACGGACCGTGGCACGGATATGAGAGCACGTTGCGCAGCGACTAGTTAATTCTTCGTCGTTTCATTTCCGGATCGAGAAGGGGGACGAGTTCATTTGCGCGTCGTTACGAGAGCCTCGTGATTATCCCGACGCCTCGCCCGCTCGGTCACGCTCTTC